CAGGCAGAGGAGTGGCAGGCAGCCAGGGGTCCTCACCCACAAGACCTAGACTCTCCAGTAGCCCCTGGGAAGATGGGACAGTTAGCCAGGCCTGGGCACCACCCTCTCACCCACACCATATGGTACCCCTGCTGCCTGTGGTGCTCTGGGCCCCCATGCCTGCCCTTGGGAAGGTGGAAGATGACAAGGCAGCAGGCCACCCGGTGCCCAAGGAGCCCCAGGCCCCTCGTGGGGCAGGCACGCTTGACCCATGAACGGCGCACATGTGCCTGCAAGGCCTCAGAGGCAGCAGCCGTGCCTGCTCGGAAAGGGGGTGTGTGTGTGTTTCAGGGACTTCAAAGGCCAGGCCAGGGGGCGCCACTGGCCCAGCCCCCCCCCAAGGGAGGACCTTCTAATAATTACTGACATCAAAGGCAGAGCCGCGGGCCCGCCTGCCCGCCCCCACTGCCTTCCGCCCCATTGAAGCAAACCACACACAGAAGGGCCTCTCCTGCTAATGGGGAGCCAGGCCGCCTCCTGATTGCTAACGTGCACCTTTGAAGTCCCCCAAAGCCTGGCTTCCTTCTCTCCCAGGGGACCAGAGGGACAGAGCAGATGGCATGTGCCGGCGCCCCAGGGTGAGGCTGGCGGGACGCTAGCACAGCAATCAATCAGCCGCATGCCCAGATCAAAGGGGCAGCGCACACACTAGGGAACCCTCCCTGCTCGGCTCCTCCTGCCTAGGGGGGCCCTGCCAGGGGGGTAGGGTAGAGACAGGCCCCCCAAAGAGACAGCCAGGGGTTGGCCAACTGACAAGGCAGCCCCCAGGCCCCAGGGACTGGGGGGGTGGGGGTGGAGTTGGCTCCCAGTGTCAAGGTCTCTGCCCACTCAGTACTGACAGGAAGGGAACTCTGGCAACAACAGGATGGGGAGGCCCCTCAGGGGCTAGGGGCCCTCAAGGCACAGCGCTGGGGAGAAAGGCTCCTCCTTCTAGCAACCACAGGCAGACTGGCCTGTGTGCACCCCAAGTCCATACTGCCCACCCTGAGGCTAAGGCAGGCCTGCCCAAGGGCAGAGGCCGAGGCCCCGAGAGGTGCGGCCAGCAGAAGGCAGGCCAGGGATGATCAGGAAGGGGCTATGCGAGGGCCGAGGGGCCGGACCAGGGTAGAGGGGAGCTGTTCCATGCCCACTGTCCCCAAGGCTACAACATGCAGGGTGTGGGGCCCCAGACGGGCAGGCCCAGAGAGCCCAGCCAATGTACCGGCCCCAGAGCACCACTGGCACAGAACTGATGTCCATCTGTCTATCCATCAACCCAGGACATGTCACTGGCTAGCTTGGGCTAGACAACAGTGGGTTGCAGCCACCTCTGTGTCTCAAGGGTCAAGGATGCTCCAAGGGACATGTACAGAGACCCCGCCGTCCGTCCTGGGTCTGCCTACGAGGCTGAGGATGCTCCTAGCATGTGCCTGTGGACGGCTTAAGGGGGACGGGGGCACCTGTTCCATCAGAGTATACCCACCCTCAGCAGGGAGCCTGGGAGGGGCGGCAGTGACAGCATCCAAAGGCTGTGTAACAGCCCAGAGTCCCCAGTGCACAGCTGTGAACAAGAGGCCCGAGAGGCAGTGCTGGTTCTCCAGGGATGAGGGGACAAAGGTCGGGTGGGCAGTGCGCATGGCGCCCGAGCACGACTGCCACGTGCCAGAAACACAGAAAACACACCTTGCGACATCACAGGAAACTCCCAGAAGGTTCTTGGAAAGGAGGCTGCAGAAGAGTGCCTCCCTTTCCTCAGTGGGTCCCTACCTCACACCACCTACCAGGCCCGTGATAAAAGACCTTGCAAAAAGACCGAGCCACAGAGCTGGCAGAAGAGAACCCCGGGGCACAAGCCGGAAGAACTCCCTGGGATGGCGAGGAGGCTGCAACTGGCAAAGGACGTGCAGTGTCCGTAAGAGGGAAGCAGGTGACTGGGGCACAGGGAATGTCAAATACAAGGGAGGAGGTCGAGAGATCACCAGGGAGGGGGGACGCTGGGGGAGAAGGTATGGAAAAAGCATGTGTGAAAGGGAGAAGAGGGTATGGGAGGGTGTGCAGAGGAGTGTGGGGACATATATGGGAGGGTATACAGGAGTGGGGGGAAGGGGGTGCAGGAGGCTGAGCTATAGTGGCCCGGGGAGGCTCCCACACCCATTGCCTGTGTGGACCTGCAGCGGCAAGCAAGGGTGGGTGAGGTGCTGCCCCCAAGGCAGCATGTCCCCACAAAGGTTGCAGTATGTAGCCAAGCCCATCCAGCGCCGCGGAGGGGAAGGAGTGTGCTAGCGCTGTGACTCCAGGGCTGGCCAGGCCAGCTGCTCACGCCACCGACCAGTGACAGCCACGCTCCTCACAGCCAGCACTGTCCCCGGGAGTGTAGGCCTGCAGTGGGCACACTGACCACCTACCTCAGCTCCCAGCCCCAGACATGGGCTCCCAGGCCCGCAGCTGGGTGCCAGGCTGGGCCACAGGGTGGAGAAGGGGCTGCTGCTGGAGGCCCCAAGGGAGGCGTGGCAGGTGAGGTGAGGCCAGGAGGGGAAGCAGCAGGGCAAGGCTGTGGGACTACAGGTTGGAGCTAGTGAAAGCCCACCTGCCCCCAGCAGCAGCTCTGTGGGGGAAGCCGAGGCTTCTCCTCCAGCAGACTGTCCGAGACGGGAACTGTGCAGGGCCCAAGGAGCCAGCACCCACCCAATGATGGCAGCTGGGTTCGTGCCGGTCTGTCCCGGCACCAGGCTGAGCACGTGTACCCGCGTGGATGCAGCAGCAGGACAAGACCCCTGGAGTAGCCAGGCCCCACCACCTCCTTACCAACTCAAGCTCCGGTGGGGACTCACAGCCTGGCTTCGACTTTTTTGGCTCAGATGGACCTCCAGGGCTGGACAAGGCTTTGGGTGATTTGGTGGACAGTGACGTCAGGGTACAAGCAGAGCCGGAAGGGCCGCCCAGACGCTGGCCCCCTCCAGAGAAGGGAATGAAGGGAGGTGGCGAGGGTGCCTTGGCATCTAGCTGTGGTGGGCAGTCTGCTGGTGTTGGGCCCCTGCTGTCCTCGCAGTCAGGCCTGGAGGGCCCAGCATCCTCTAGGTGGCTCAGGTCACCCCCACTGAGTCCCCTTGCTACCAAGGGAAGCACAGGGTGGCTGGCGGCCTGATCGGCAGCAATGGGCAGTGCTGGGTGGCCAGGGGCCCTGGCCCCCACGGGCTCTGGTCGGCAGGCTGAGCTGCTCGCCTTTGTGACGAACCTGTGGGGAGAAGCAAGAGGGGGAGGGCGCAGGCACGTCTCCACTACTCTGACACCAGCGGGGGCCTGCCAGTGACACCATGGCAAGTCCACACAGGGGCACGGGGGGGGGGGGGGGGGAGGCGCGGAGGGGGGCCCAAAGGGCTGAGAGAGGGTTTCCCTTCCCAGGCTAGGGAGCTGTGCTTCCTCCCCTGACCTGATGGTGGCGCTGCCCCCTGTGAGTCCCAGCGACTGCAGCGTCGTCCTCTGCAAGGCAGCCTGGCCCGTCACCTGAGGGAGAGGGCAAAGGAGGTGGCACAGGTGGTCCAGGACAGGTGGGCCCCACGCCAAGACCCCAGACCTCAAGGGAGCAGACCTTGAAAAACCACAGGAGGCCCTCAAACTTCCCCCTCCTTCAAAACCCTCCCAGTGCAGGACAGTGTGGGGGTGGGGTGGGGTGACCTCCCAGGCCTCGGTGCCCCCCAAGCCCTTGGTGCCCAACAGCAAGGTCTGAGCCTGCTCCTCCTTAGCCCCAAGGCTCCCCCATGCCAGCCTGCCTCAGCTCCCATCATCCACCTGCAAGTCCCGACTTGTCACCCCCATTCCCAAGGGTACCCTCAGAAGGCCCTGAATCCCCTCCTGCAGGGCACCAGCTGCCTTTTGCCCTTGGGACTGCCCCTGCAGGGGAACACTGGCGCTGAGCAGGTCCTCTGTAGGAAAGAGTACCCAACCTCAGAGCCCCTCACCCCACCCCCTCCTGTCCTTTGAGGCTCCAGAGGCCCTGTGGGTCTGATGGGGGCCCAGTGGGAGACACGGCCATCTGCACGGGGTCCACTGGGTCCACCCTGGCTGGGAGGGGCACACTGCCAGAGCAGGAACAGACAGCCACTGTGAGGCGGGGGCGCCGAGTGGGGCGGGGCGCGGGTGCCAGGGCCAAGCCCGCCCCACACTGCTCTCAGGTTTGGGAAAGATCAAAACATGAGCAAAGCAAATATTTATTAAAACGAAACCACTTTTGTGACTCGGCTTTGAGCAGTGCTGCAAAAACAAACAGCGGAGGGCGGCGGGGCTCCAGGCTGCTCGGCAGCGGGCGGCGGCTTTTTCCATGAAACACACCGCGCTTTCAGAAGCTGCCGCTGCAGTGCTGCCAGGCCCACCTGGGGAGAGGGGCTGGGGTGGGTGGAGGGGCAGGCGGTGGGCCCTCACCTACCTCGTCCCTCATGTACACGCACACAGGTACGGCCTCATGCAGCTGCTCCAAGCACCCCCTAGAAGGAGACGGAGCATCGTGCTGGCGGCTGAGGCTGAGGCCGGGCCACCCAGGGACCACCTGCCCTCCAGCATATGATTGCGGGCCCCCAGGCTGGCATGCTGGGCGGGGCGGCCAGGAGGATGCAGAGCCTGGGATGTGGCCCACAGCCACCATGGGGCCCCTGTTAGGCTGAACTCAGCAGGGTGACTTACAGTCTGCTACACGGCTTGCACCCATGATTTGCTGAGGCCACCATGGAGGTGCAGCAGGCTCAGGGGGATTCTGAACCACCCCCATCGCCCCGGCCGTGGCGGCCCCAGGACAGGACACAATAGGGACAGCCACGCTTGTATGACAGCTGTGAACACTGTAGCCACAGTGACTCAGTCGTCCCAAGCGCCCCATGAGTACCCCAAGGGGCACTAGGATGGGAGGCTGGGCGTCGCAAGCACACACGCTGAAGCCTGCACACTCCTGCTGCGGGCACAGGCAGCTGCTACCCAGGCCATGCTCCCTGCTCCCCCTGGGTTGAAAGAGCAGACAACTTCCAGAGGCACCAAGTGCCATGCCCTGTGGCACAGGCAGGGGCAGGGGTGGGATGGTGGTGGTGGTAAGGGGCAAAGGGGCAAAGCTGCAGCCTGACAGTGTCAGGAGAGGTCCCGGCCAGCCAGCAGCAGCCCTAGGTCAGCCAAGAGTGACTCAAGACAGAAGGTGTCCACCAACAGGCGTGGATAAACACTCCGAGGTCTGTCCGCACAAAGGGACATTGCTGAGCACGTCCACCGAGAGACGGCGGGCAAACAGGATACAGCCCAATGGAATATTACTGGAGGTACCCAGGAGATGATGGACACACACACGGAACACAACCACGGCAGGCTATCACCTGCTGAAGCACATGTCTGGCCAGAGAGAGGAATCACGTGCTGGCATGGGCCACGGCTCGTCTTGTCCTCTAAGGGCCGTGACTGAAGAAACCAGACACCACAGGCCAGACTGCGCGCTTCACGTACAGGACAGGCCGTGAGATGGGGAGGTGGGGTGCGTGTGTGGGGGCGTGCTCCAGTGGGCGAGAGTCCTCAGGTGACCAAAATGTTCATCACCGTCCACCCAACCAGACCGTCAGGGAGCTGGCCTGCGTTCTAACCAGTTACAGCCATCCACTCCACTCCGCACGCAGCTGCGGCGACACTTCATTATACAAGAGCGTGTGCCCGGGGCCTGGGGCCCACACTATGACCTCTTGGAACACAACAGAGCACCCACCCCAGGCTAGAAGGACACCCTCCCATCTCAGCCCCCAGCGGGGCTGACACAAAGTCTCAGGCTTTGCTGGGACACCGTTCCCAGAGGTTCCAGCCCCACCCCTGCCCCGTGATATGCTGGCACCCCTCCCCCTGGGTGGCACGCTGGGCCCAGGGCCTGCGCCTGGGACAAACCTGGCTCCCACCCCACGGAAGAAGACATCCCAGTCAGGGAAGGGGCCTTCCAAGAGGCAAGGCGCATGGGGGGCTGGGGGGACCACTTTTCCCAGATGAACAGATGCTGGAAGAGGCCTGGGGCCACTGCACCCGTCCCCCTCCCAGCCCTTTCTGGACACTACGTCCAGGCAAGGCGTCCCCCAGGCCCCCAGCCTGTGCCAGTGTCCAGGCCCTCTGTGATGGCCGGCAGGCCTCTGGAGGCCGACAGGCTGCAGCACATCAAAGGGCCGATGTCTTTGAAGTGTGGCTCGGCAGGGCGGCAGAGGCCCGGCCAGCTGGGGGGCTGTAAACATGTCGTGAGCTCTGCACACAAGGGGAGGGGCGGCAACAATCGCTTCCAGGCCTCCCCTGGGCAGCAAGGACACTCCCCCAACACGCTCTCACAGCCAGGGGAGCAGGGCTGCCCTACCCCCACCTTGCCACCCATCTGCTTGCTCGACCCCACTCCCTCGAACTAGAGATCCGCTCACCCAGGGCCCCCCCTCCAAAGACCTGTGAGTCCAGGTTCTGAGGGCTGTCTGTTGTTGCTGTGTTGACCACATGGCCAGCACAGACATGGGCTGGGATGCCATGGGACCGACCCATGCAGGAGCACGCAGACCAGCAGGTGAGACCCCAGCACCAGGCCGGGCCAGGTGTCTGGCCCCAGAAAGCTGAGAGTAGCCCAAGATGCCTGGGTTTAGTTCAAGTCGAGGAGATGGCTGAGGTAGGGAGAGGAAGAGGGAGGGAAAGGGGCCTTGGGCAAGGATGATGGGGGACACGCAGCAGGGCGGGTGCTGGACACACATCTGCTGTGCACACTCTAGGATGTCTGGCCGGGTCACACAAACACAGCAGCGGGCTCTGGGTCCTGCTGCCCCTGGACCCCCACAGGCTCTCGGGAGCCCAGCTGTCCGCTCAGCAGCCCACCAAGGGTTGGACTGGTGTTGACACAGGACAACAAGATGGACAGGTGCCAGCGGCTTCCGAGACGCACCACAGCAGAGCCCATGAACACAGGTACAACATCTGCTGTTGGGCAAGTGCCCTGAGGACGCCCGCTGACTCCACTCCGACAGAAGCCCTGCTGCCGACTGACCACAGTCTGGGCTAGATGTGTAGGGGAGAAGGCAGGGTGACCCGCAGCCTCGCCCCCACACACTCACCATCTGGCACTGGGTGGGGCCTGGGGTCTTGGGGGAAAGCGCAGAGCCGACAAGCCGGAGACCCAAGCCCACCCTCCTGCCCCGCAGGTCTGACCTCGGCCAAGATCCCAAGCAGCCAAAGCACATGTAGCCCTGCGCCTCTGCAGGCCGCGAGGTCAGAATGCACTGAGGGGAGACGGCCAGGGAGGCCCAGTGGCACTGTGGGGAAAGCCTGGGCTGCTGACCACACACTCAGTGGGTTCCAGCCCGCCAGCCGCCTGAGAAAGACCAGGATAGTGAGGCTGTCTGCTCCCGCAAAGATGGGCGTCCCTGAAAGGGCAGGTGACTGAGGTGGCCCTACCTCAGTCTTTGGCTCTCAGTTATGCCAGGAGAGAACTCGGGATTGCCGCACGGTCCACAAGGCAGCCCTCAGCGCTGGGTCCCCCACGCCACCACTGTGCAGACAAGCCACCCCCACAGCAAACCCCAGCTCTGTCCACTCTGAGAGCAGGCCAACAGACAGCAGCCTGCACAAGCTTCCTGTGAGCAGCACACTTGATGCAAACAGGCGGCCTTGTCTTTCTCCCGAGCAACAGATGGTGGGTTTGAATCAGTGGCTGTGCAGTTAGAAGCCTGGTGCCTCACGCGCAGCTCCATGCAGCCTGGAGGTCACACCAACCTGGCCATGCCCTATGGCGTGTGCCTGCACCCCTCTGGGGCACCCAATCTGCCAAGCAGGGCATCAGTCCCGACATCCTGGACTTGCACTCTCCTGAGAGGTGGCTGGGGAGAGGCCAGCTGACTACGTGTCAGACACTGCCAGGCTGGGCACTCCCAAAGCCACCTCCTCGGCCTGCAGCCAGCCCAGCCACCCACCCGTCACACGCATGGAGCCACAGCCCTCCCCTCCCCCCGCAGGACAAATTCCAGGGCAACCCTGTGGGCATCAAGGCTGCTGCCACATGGCCCACTGGAGCCTGGCTCCTGTTGCCATCCACGGAGAAAACACCAACAGCCCAATGCTGGTACGTGAACCAGGCCACACACATCGCAGACCAGGAAGCCACCCAAACAACACTGAGTCCGCAAGCACACCCCCACGGGCTGCTCCCCGCAGGGCCCCAGGGAGGGGCTGGAGGGCCCTTAGCCGTAGCCAGGCCAACACTGCTCCTTGCAGGGCCCCAAGGCTGGCAGGTGGGGCGGGCTCACAGGCCCTCCATGCCAGCTGGCTAACCGGGCCACGGCCACTCACCTGGTCCTTGGGAAGTGGCTGAGGAGCTCCCAGAGGGTGCAGCCGGCACAGAAAGTGTCCTGTAGCCGAATGCCGTCATCCACCTGCAGCGCAATGCGGACCTGCGGGCATGCACGGGCACATTGGTGGGATGAAGGTGGCAGTTAGGCCGAGGCCAGGAGTGGCCACCAGGGGGGGATGCTGGAGGCTGTGTCCCTCCCCAGGACACACTGAAAACCGTGTCCCCGTGTGTGTAAGTGGTGTGGGTATCAGGGCAGAACTGGGCTGTGCAGGGTTTTCAGGAATCAGTTTTGCAGCAGTAGTTTGCCAGGCCTTTCTTGCAAGGTACCACAGGGTGGAGGCGAAACTCATCTCAGCAGCAGCTGAGCTTATTCACTGCCTCCAGGAGGGAGCCCTTCCCTTGTGGCGCCCGGACATGGTTTCCCAGCAGAACCAGCAGCTCGGCGGGGCCACTGAGGCTGTGACTGAGCAGGGCCAGCCCGGGAGCCCAGTCAAGGTATGGTACCCTACTAGTTCCCCCGACAAAGGGCCCCCTGCACAAGGGGTACTGGGAGCTGAGCCCCTACCATGTTCTTGGGCCCCTCTCGGCTCCGGGAGGCACGCACCATCTCGAGCTTGGCATTGTTGGGCAGGTTGGCAAACCTCCACTGCAGGGAGAGGTCAAGCACGCTCCTCTGAAACCTGCGAAAGACCACGGCATTGGCCACACTGCACACGGCCCCTGTGGGCCCGCCACACCATGTCCTCCCCGTGCCACCACCTCACATAGCCCTCCAGGTCCCCAGGGGCCTTCCAGCAGGAAGAAACGGACAGTCTCTACAGGGCCTCAAACATGAAGGGCAGGAAAGGCAGGTGGGCCAAGACACATCAGGCTCCAGAACACACCACTTGGGGCGAACTCAGCGCCCGGCACTGTGGGAACGTTCTAGAATAACGCTGCCCCGTCCCAGCCAAAGCCGCCACAGTCACTCACACTAGCATCACCGGCCCCCACCGAAATGACCAACTGCCCACATGCACGCTTCCTGCTGTCCCTGCCTTAGGGACTTCGGTCCAAAGAGGAGCGAGCAGCAGGCAAGCAGGTGCCAGGAGAGGCGGGGGGCGGGGGGCAGGGGGCCCACCTCAGCCGCGCCATCTCCAACAGGGACTGAGGGTAGGCCAGCATGGTGACTACAGAGCTTGGCCCCAGGGCTCTGAAGCCATGAAGCCACAAAGAGGTGCTATGAGAAAGGGCAGAGCCCCGAGAGGCTTGGACGCCAGGATCTGCCCCCAGGAACCTTCACCAAGACCCAGGCCTGCCTGAAAGGAGGGCCTTCTGACTGGTGTGGCCACCCCCAGGCCAGAGGCCTGCTCCTCCGACCCAGCTCAGTCTTGGCCAGACAAGGTAAAATGGGCAGAGGGAGCGGGCTGGACAAGGAGACCCAGAGCTGCTTTGCTGTAGACCCTTTGGTGTGTGCAGAGGGGAACAGCGGGTGGTCACAGAGCCCCCTAACCTGGTGCCTCCCTGATCTCACTGACCCCTACCCTGACCCAAACCGTACCCAGGTACTCCAGAGCCACACAGTAAGGCCCATTGTTGCTGACCTCAAAAACACCTACCTAAAAAAAACACCCCTGCCTGCCGCTGGGCAGTCTCAGTCCTGAGGGAGGAGGACAGCAGGTGGCACCCCTTACCAACCCTGCCTCCGAGATTGGACAAAACCTCACTCATGGCCACAAATGTCAATGTGTACTTTTAACAAAAGCTGAAAACCGGGGCCGCTGGGCAGAAAAGCCTGAGGGAAACGGAAAGTACATCTAGGGCAGGGCCCACGATGAGGGAGGGCACCAGGAGGTGGCAGGAAGCCCCAGATGCTCGGCCTGGGCCTGCAGAGATCCAGTAGCCTAACAGGGGCGGGAAGCAGAGACAACCCCCGCCAGCCCCAGCTACAACAGTGATTCTGCAAGTTACAATGGCAGCAAAATGGGGCAGAAGACCCATGGGCCCCTCCAGCTGGGACTGGTCAGGGACACATTCTATGTGCTGGCGGCCTGCTTTTGTACATCCACCCTTTCAAACATAGCACACAGCTGGTGGGTGACACAGTGACCCCTCTCCTGAAGCCTTCAACCTCAGGGTGGCCACACTGCCAGTCCGGCGTCACAGGAGGCTGGACATGCATGTGACCCAGGGACCGAAAGGCCACCGGGCGCACTTCTATGTGATGGGTCCCCAGAGCAGAAACAGTCAGACGCCTACAATGCTCCTGCACTCAGGTTAAAATCCAAACTTGCTGCTGGGTTCCCCACATCCCTTACACTCTGCGATGACCCATACAGCCTCCTCCCGGAGGGGCCAGGCCCCACTCACTTCAGGTCATAGTCACAGGGGTTGAAGTCCTGCCGCTGGCATGTGTCCTCCAAGACCTGGAGGGAGAGGAGAGGGCACTGAGGCAGAGCCAGGAGGCCAGCAAAGGGCAGAGGCCACTTCTTTGCAAGCCAATTCACACCGCCCACAGGAACACTCCACCACAGCACGCTGGGCACCACCTGCAGGTGTCTCCTTCCTCTGAGCTCCAAAATCACCCCACCCCACCCCAAAGATCTGCAGACACTGACTGGGGCCTTCCACCTAAAACTCCACAACCCTCCGTGGATGACGGACAGAGAATAAGTGACAGACTCCGGGGAGCAGACCTCACGCTGCTGGCCCAGCCTGTCCCTGCACACCTGCCCCCACCGCCCTGTATGTCCCCATCTGTTTCACCCAAGTGTCCTAGCTCCGGGCCACAGCCTGTCAGCCCGGACCCGAAAAGGGGTGTCCCCTACCCGGCAGGTACTCATCTGGTTTTGGTAAAAGCGCGGGAGGTGACTCATCAAAACTAATTTCCAAGTCCAAAGGCCCGCGCACCTGGCCCCAGAGCAGTAGGGCTCGGAGAAGAGTGGGTGCCCCGGGATGAGGGCACGGGTGGGTCTGAGGACTCCGCCCTCCCCGGCGGCCTCGGGAGGCTGGGGTGCGCCGTGTCTGGTATCCGAGGGAGCGCCCGGGAACGCTGCCTCCGCCAACC